TGCTTCAAAATAAAAAGAAAAAGTATGAGTTTTTTATGCTTCAATATTCTAAGGGCATTGACATTCTTATAGTGTGTGGGAAAAGAAATAGTAGTGCACACTAGAAGGAGGGGTTAAATAGTGGCAATCAAAAGCTCACACTTTTTTTTTTTTGAAACAATGAAGTAGTAGGGCAATTATAGAAGTGCAGATGAAAGAGTAACTTAGAAGAACACAAAGTATTTTTACACTAATTCATCTCAATTACCGAGACTATGTCCAGTTTTTGATCAAACCCAATCAAGTTCCACTATCTTTTATAAAGATACAAGTATTCTTTTACAAGTCACTTCTGACTCAAGCTAAGTATTTTTTGACTTGTCTCTTCAAGCAACTACCCAAATATTCTTTAACACAAAGCCTCTCCGTTCTTCAAATAACAAAGTATTCTTTTACTAATAAGCCTCCCTAGGCTCAAACAAACAAATATTCTTTTACAGATAAACCTCTCTAAACTCAAACAAATAAGTATTCTTTTATAAACAAGTCTCTTCAAGCTCATTGCAATAACACAAAGTTAAAGCTAGTTAAGATAATTGTGTTGTTCGTGTTACTTTCAAGATGTGATACAACAATATTAAGTACAAAGCTTATATACATAAAGAATGAATGTAATTTTACAATATGTGCTTCTCTTGTCTAAGTTCTTCTTTTTATTTTAATCTTTAAGTTTCCTTATATAAGTGTTTTCAATGACGATGACCATTACAAATCCCTGAGCGTCTCTCACAGACTTGTTTCAATTGTCTTCAATTTTTGTTCCTGTGGAGAGAAGTGTCCATTGGTGCATCAATTACTTACATTAAACGCGTTTCACAAAATTGTCACTTCTTATTTGATCAAGGAAGCTACTTATCACCTTTTGAGTACCAAATAGGTGGAGTTATGCATGTGTCAGTTCAAAACAATTTTTTTTGAGAATTTCCGTGATTCAAGGGATCTACTTGTCTTTTTTTGAAAAAAAACATGTCTTTTTTCATTTTTGTCATTGTGGGTATCGAGGAAGCTATTTTACTTCAATCTATTAAGGAATTATATAGATTTATTTAGTTATCAAACATCTTAAATAATATAAATTCAAAATAAATGTCTTATAGATGAAGTATTTTGTCTGTTAGAATTTTTATGTCAAGATAATTAATCATCTTAGTGCATTCATCTTATACTCATTCATCTTATTGAATGGTTTGAAAAAATTTCTCTAAGAAGTCGTCTATGTTTTTTATGGAAACTCCTTGAAGAATTGATGCCAAAACTCCTCAAAGAGATGCTTCTTTCTCCATGATCTTTCTTTGAGTAATTCCACTATTCAAAAAGGAAACGATGTGCTGGAGATGACTCTAAAATCCCTGGTTTGGAAGCACTCAAGCCAAAGAATCAAAGGAAAGCTCACAAGGGAAACTAGCCTAGAAAGGATTTGGAATCTCCTAAAGATCTAGGCGTGAAGGACTTCAAGTTTGGGAGATAATTTGATATATTTGCATAATGCTTTGTATATTAAACTCAAATTGCTTACAAATAAGAGAAGAGGGGGACTTATATAGGGTGGAGGATGGCGCTTAGAAGGGATCAAAGCTAGGCGCCAAAAAAATTTGAATTCAATTTTGAGGCTAGCTGGTTTCGTGTGCGTGCAACCTCATGAGAAGTTATCTAAGTTAAGTTTGAGAATCATTTAAGGTTCATTTGGTGGCAGCCATGTTTAGCCCCCATTGGCTTAAGTACATGTGCTCTAAATGCAACCTAAATGAAGCTTAAATTTGACTTTGTTAACTAACTCTCCTAATTAAGTCCTCAACGCTTAATCCTATGCTAATGGCCAAATCACAATGGCCAAAATATACCAAACATCATAAAATAAAAAGGCAAATAAAACAAGTCCAATATTGGATAACAAAAGACTTGAGGCTCATTAAGCCCAAAATAGGCCCAATAAGCCCTTTGGCCCAGAACCCTATTCTATTAGGCCCAAAATACAAGGCCAAAAATTATGATACCTATACTAATATAATCTATACTATATGGTAGATAATAATGACCTTAGAGGGTGGTCCATGTGAAGAGCAACTTGGGTCCACCAAGCCCACTAAGCTCTGAATTAGACAAATCTTCCTATAACCTCCTAGTCATGACTCTGGTAGTTGGACCCTTGGCCCATGTTCCTCCATCAATTTTTTTATCAATGAAACTTATAACTTAAGAGATTTAGGATTGTCTTATAACCAAACATTCATTATCTTTTAATGGGTGATCACCAACATTTACTCATTTAAGATCGTTCCATTATATTTAGTAGTTTATAGACTTAATTTGATCACATGAAATAAAGTTCACTAATAATAATTATTTAATATATTTTATAATATTATCCCACTTTAATTATTGAAATATAAAATTCTAACAATCTCTAATTTTAACTATATTAGAAAAATTGTATCACAATTCTTCAGGTACACATTTGCACACTATTTATATTTATACTTTCACCCAAAAAATTTAGTCCATCTTATGAATCAGTAATGAAACCATAATGATTTTTGTCACTACCATAAAATATGACTAGACATTGCCACACCCAATCATAGTAACACTTATCACAACATTTATTTAATTTATTTTACCTTTTTGTTAGCATAATTATGAAATCAAAGTAAATTATGATTAAAGTGAATATAAGCATCATGTTGACATAACCATAATTTATATCAACATAATACATCCAATATTCAAGATTCATCCATCTCATATCGTCATACACATTAAATCCAAATCATTCTCATCACAATATTAGAGACTTATGCAATATATGTTCCTAACTTTGCATGTATGTGATATCGATTTCAAACATCGCCAAAAGGTGCCCCTATACAAGGCAGCCTAAGAGTTATGGATTGGATCACCACACACTAGGTGACCTTCTCAATCCACTCTCAACTAGGGGAAATCTACCATGATCCAGTCAAAGCATTACACTTAGTTATGGTTTCCCTTATATTCGTTAGAGAGTCCCTACCATAACGCCCCAAGGCCTATGTAGAAGACCATAGAGACTCTCGTAGATAGATTCTCACCACCTCACCAAAGAAAGTATGCATGTAATGTATGGACTCCACATAACAATCCCAATACAACAACAACAATTTAATATTCACAACAATGACTTGTCAGATCTCTCTTTCTAGACTTCTCCTTAATATACCAAGCCTTGCTTGAATTTTTTCATTACTAAGCCTTTGTTTAGACTTACTCATCTCATCACCACCATCATCATCATCAAATATTAGCATTCATCATTATCATTACTTATACTCTCATTATTTCATTTCATTATATTCACCTCCTTTCTATCTTTACTCAAATATAGTTATATTGTTATTGTCTTTCTTTCTATCGTTCTTTGATTATCCACACTCTGAATTCATTCTTTTCTTTACTTGATTAACCATGGATACTTACTCTCGTTATATCTTCTTTTAATTCTATTTCACTCATCACAATCTTCTTTATTTTTTGTTATTCTTAAAACTTAGTTTAATTTGATAGCAACACGACAACCAAAACAGAAATACTCATGCCTAGCATAGAGAGGCCAAAGACCTCTCTATCATGTTCACGCTTGACATGGTTATACCTATGCCCAATGTGGAGAGGTCAAGGACCTCTTTGTCCTAGTGTGATTACTTTCACCCCCAATGTTGAGAAGTTAGAGACTTTTTTTGTTATAACTACGCTGAATGTGATCTTGGTCACGCCTGACATCATCTCCTTTGAAAAATGACGTCAAACAGTGCCAATCAAGACACCTTTCACTCAACGTAGAGAAGTTAGAGACCTTTCTATCGTTCCTACCCCTAATGTGGCTTTTTTCACACCCAATGCGAAGAATTGTATTCATTGCACCTAGTACTTTAAACATGCATTTGGTCTCTCCACATGATCGAGGGTCTTTAAAACCTATCCAAATCCATCAAAACATTCCTTTACTCAAATCAAATGGTGAAACGGTTATACATCATTAATAGAAAAACATGTGATCATCAGAAAACCCTAATTCATCCATTCAAATCAAAAACCTCAATTCATACATATAACCCTAACCCCCAATACACAACATAATACAAATGAATACCCTAAATCATGAATTTCATAACATCTGTACTCATACAACATAAATCAACCCAAAGCAAAGTCAATCTCATCAAATGCGTGCAGTTAATAGTCCTATGATGGCTTAAGAGTTGCCTCACTATGCATAACCCTTTACATGTGTCCACAAGTTGAGATATTCCCATTCCCCTTTTTACTTTAGATGGCGATCTCCAAGGCATAAACAAGATCATCCACCGTTTCGAGGCTAATTCATGCGTTCCTTGGGATTCTCCTCTATAGTGTTTTAGGGTTTAGGAATCTGATGTGCCATATGGCTCAACTACTTCTCTACTTATTTTTTTTTTATTAGACTCTGGGTTAAACTCAAAAGTCTAAACTCAAAGGCTCATCTCTAACACTCCTCTTAAACTCTATTTTATTTTATTTATTAAAAATACTCGCTTATATTATAAGCTAAATTAAAATAAAGTAATTAAATCTATAATATAAATATTATTTAATAATTTATTTATTTTATTTTAAAAACTCTAGATGTTATAATTTAAGACAATTTTCAAATCATCGCATGATACCATGTAGATTGAAGGATGGAAATATCATATTGGCTTATTTTTGTTTTTTATGCTAGGTTGTGTTTTCAAAGAACATTATAAAAAATTAAAACTCTTTATTTTATTTATTAAAAATAAGATCATATAATTAACTCTTTAAAGCATTAAGTATTGATAAGCGAGATTGCCTCACGTGCGAGAGTCTTCAAATTTCAACCTCCCGCTCAAACGCCAGCATTTCAAATTCAAATCCGACTCGACCGTTGGGCCTTCCCAAGTCCCATTTAAACCCCTCCTCCTCCCCACCGCTCCCACTTCCCCTTCCAATCTCCGGACACTCCCTCCGCGTCAGCCGCCCACCATGGACCACCCCCGCCCCCTCCACAGCAGCAGCGCCGCCAACGTCGCCGCGGCCGGCAAAACCATCGAGGAAATGTACCAAAAGAAGACCCAGCTGGAGCACATCCTCCTCCGCCCCGACACCTACGTGGGCTCCGTCGAGAAGCACACCCAGACGCTGTGGGTCTACGAGAACGACGAGATGGTGCACCGCCCCGTCTCCTACGTCCCCGGCCTCTACAAGATCTTCGACGAGATCCTCGTCAACGCCGCCGACAACAAGCAGCGCGACCCCTCCATGGACGCGCTCAAGGTCCTCGTCGACGCCGAGCAGAACACCATCACCGTCTTCAACAACGGCGACGGCGTCCCCGTCGAGATCCACCAGGAGGAGAAGGTCTACGTCCCCGAACTCATCTTCGGACACCTCCTCACCAGTAGCAACTACGACGACAACGTCAAGAAGACCACCGGCGGACGCAACGGTTACGGCGCCAAGCTCACAAACATCTTCTCAACGGAGTTTGTCATCGAAACCGCTGATGGCAAGCGCCAGAAGAAGTACAAACAGGTCTGCTTTTGGGATCGGTGTTTGTTCAATTTGGGGTTTCTCTTGTGGTTGATTTGGTGAATTTGTAATCATTGATGATGATTTTGTTTCGATTGAATGGGTCTAGATACTTCAATTGTTAATTCTTAACCTTTTTTTTATATTTATTTTTTATTTTTTCATTGAGTTGGAGATAATTGGTTAATTTTGGATTCTGCTTGGGTTTTATGATGCTTTGGTTTGATTGTTTGAATCTGCTTTGTATTTAGGGATTCGAAAATTTTCATGTTCTGCGTGATAGTGTTGTGTATGTGAGACTGTTTTTTCCTCTCTTTTACTTCCTGCTAGAGTTCTATGATTCTTTGATTGCTTTCCTCTGCTTTGTTTATTGGGAAATGGATTTTTTCATGTTGAAGGTAGTGGTTTGCTAGTGAAGCTGATTTTTTCGCCCTTTTACTAGACTTGGATTAAGTTTATGAATTTAGGATCCTGCTTGGGTTTTGTTACGGTACTTTGATCGTTTTCCTCTGCGTTACTTTTTGGAGATTGGGATTTTTCATGTATTGGGTGGAAGTTTCTTAATGTAGTTGAAACTGTTTTTTTTTTTTATTATAATTTTTTTTATGGGTGTTGCTGATGGGATTTGATTGGATGTGCTTCAAAGGTGTTCTCCAACAACATGGGGAAGAAGTCTGAGCCGGTGATAACGAAATGCAAATCGGGTGAAAACTGGACCAAGGTGACCTTCAAGCCTGACTTGGAAAAGTTCAAGATGGCTTATCTTGAGGAAGACGTAGTTGCTTTGATGAAAAAGCGTGTGGTGGACATGGCCGGGTGCCTCGGAAAGACTGTTAAGGTTGAACTCAACGGACGTGTTATCAAAATGAAATCGTTTCGTGATTATGCTGATCTTTACCTCAAATCAGCCGAGAAATCCAGACCTGTACCACTTCCAAGGTTTGTCTGGATGAAATTTAGTTTGTTTAGCCGGTGTTTTTTCTACTTTTAATTATTGCTTTGTGCTAACTTGGTTTTGGTGCCGTGAAATAGGATTCATGCAAAAGTAGGTGATAGGTGGGAGATTTGCGCGAGTCTAAGTGATGGGCAGTTTCAACAGGTGACTAATGAGCTTCTGAAGCAAAGTTGCTACTTGGTAGTTCATTGTTGTTACCTGTTAGTCTTACACACTGTTAATTTGCTTTAACCAGGTCAGCTTTGTTAATTCCATTGCTACAATCAAGGGTGGCACTCATGTTGATTACGTCACCAATCAAATTACTAGCTTTGTGATGAACAAAGTAAATAAGAAGAAAAAGGATGCCAATGTCAAAGCTCACAATGTGAAGAATCATTTGTGGGTTTTCGTCAATGCACTTATTGACAACCCTGCGTTTGATTCTCAAACTAAGGAAACTCTCACGACCAGACAGGCTAGTTTTGGTTCTAAATGCGATATTCCTGAGTCGATGCTTAAGGAAGGTTTGTCATGTTACATTTTTTGTTGTTCTCAATATATTCAAGCCACAAAAATTGATGTTAAGCACTTACATGTTGCCATTTTTTGCAGTTGCAAATTCTGGTATAGTGGACACCCTCCTATCGTGGGCAGATTTTAAGCAAAGCAAAGATCTGAAAAAATCTGATGGGACAAAGACTCAGAGGCTTCGTGGGATTGTTAAGCTAGAAGATGCTAATGATGCAGGTGGAAGGAACTCAGAGAAGTGTACCTTGATATTAACAGAGGGAGATTCTGCTAAGGCCCTTGCTGTAAGTTGTCATTAGAAAGAAGTACATTTCAATCTTTGAAGAACTGGTGTCTATTTTTAACATTTCTACAAACCCAAATAATTTGCTTAAGAAATGTAGAAGCCCATGATCATTCAAATTCAATTTCAATCACAAATGCCAACCATTTACTAAGAGTTTTTACTTTGAAACAACTGCTGTACGAATTTTCTTTAAATAGCGAGTTACAAATTTAGTCTCCCCAACAAATAACCAAGTACCATTCATTTTTTCTTCTATATTCTCATTGCTTCATTCTCTACTGGTTTAAAAAGATTTTTTTACCCTATCTCAGACGATGTTATGTTTTGAGTTTTGACATTATTCATTATTATATATGAAGATGGCTGGTCTTTCTGTTGTGGGTCGAGACCATTATGGTGTGTTTCCGTTGAGGGGAAAATTGCTCAATGTACGGGAAGCCAGCAGTAAACAAATAATGGATAACGAAGAAATTCAAAATATAAAGAAGATTCTTGGACTGCAGCAAAACAAAGAGTACACAAACGTAAAGTCTTTGAGATATGGTCATTTGATGATTATGGCTGATCAGGTGGGTTTATTTAGATATCATAAGTTTTGCTTTGTCTTTTTAGTCTTCACTTTAGCCTTTTCTTTGACGGAGATTTTAATGGTTCAACTTTACGGGTGGTTCAGGATCACGATGGTTCCCACATCAAAGGTCTACTGATAAACTTCATTCATTCATTCTGGCCGTCACTGCTAAAAGTTCCATCTTTCATGGTTGAATTTACCACTCCCATAATAAGGGTTAGAAGGTTTTGCTGTTATTCAGAAGGAAAATATTTACTTCTGCATACTATTTATGGAATTTCATGTATTTATTATTTTGAATTTCCTGTCTTTGCAGGCTTTTCATTCAAACGGGACAAAATTGTCCTTTTATTCCATGCCCGAGTATGAATCATGGAGAGAAAACTTGGGGAATAATGCAAATGGTTGGAAGATAAAGTATTATAAGGTTTGTTTTTTATAAGCTTAGAGAACCTTGAAGGGAGAGTACGAATAATTCTGCTTTCATAGCGCTTATTTTGAATCTCCGTTCTTTAATAGCCCGAGTATGAATCATTCTGATTTCAGAGTGCTTATTTTGTTTCCATTCTCTCTACAGGGTTTGGGTACAAGTACTCCTCAGGAAGGGAGAGAGTACTTTCGAGATCTTGATAAGCATAAGAAAGACTTCGTTTGGGATGATGAGCAAGATGGAAATGCAATTGAGATGGCATTCAGTAAGAAAAAAACTGAAGATAGGAAGATCTGGATTCGTAATTTTGAGGTGTGAAGTGTTTACCTATCTAGAATATTTTACATTTGATTGATAGATGTGAAGGTTTGGGAGAATCTGCTACTAATAATCTACTCTTGTTCTTGCAGCCTGGCAATCATCGTGATCATATGGACAGATATATAAACTACAGGGATTTTGTCAACAAAGAGCTTATATTGTTCTCCAGGGCGGATCTTCAAAGGTCCATTCCCTCGATGGTTGATGGCCTCAAGCCTGGTCAAAGGAAGATTCTTTTCTGCTCATTTAAGAAGAAGTTGTTCAAAGAAATAAAAGTAGGCCAGTTTATTGGTTATGTGTCTGAGCACTCTGCTTACCACCATGGTGAGCAAAGTCTAGCCAGCACAATTATTAACATGGCACAGGATTTTGTGGGTAGCAACAATATCAATCTCCTTAAACCAAATGGTCAATTTGGTACTCGTAATCTGGTGAGATGAATCTGTTCTTTGATTCAAAACTTGTTATAGTATCATCCGTGTTTGATTTTTTTTTGAAAATTGTATTTACGGTGTAATTTGTTATCCTTTCAGGGAGGAAAGGATCATGCTAGTGCTAGATACATCTACACTGAACTAAACACTTTTACTCGGTGCATCTTCCATGAAGATGATGACAAGCTACTTGAATACTTGAATGAGGATGGGAAGTCGATTGAGCCCAACTGGTATTTGGTTTACATCTTCTTTATTAAAGACTCTTCAGTTTATGATTAGTAACATGTACGGGACTTTATCATATTCTTGTTGTCCGGCCTCGCAGGTACATACCAATTATACCGTTGGTTCTTGTCAATGGTAGTGAGGGAATTGGGACTGGCTGGAGTTCTTACATTCCAAATTATAATCCAAGGGACATTATTGCCAATGTTAGGCGTTTGTTGAGTGGGGAGACAATGGTTCCAATGCATCCATGGTACAAAGGATTCAAAGGAATCATTGAGAGAAGCCCCAAAGAAGGTGGATACGTAGTTAATGGTTTAGTGGAGGAAATGGATGAACAAACTTTCAGAATCACCGAGTTGCCAATCCGTAAATGGACCCAAGATTACAAGCAGTTTCTTGAGTCTATAACTGATGGGTCACCTAATGTCAAGGATCCTTTAATTGAGGTAGCCTGTCCTAAACACTTGGTCTTCATATGCACAAAGAAATTAACCTGGCAAAAAATAATGTGAAAATTTTCCTTTTGCAGGATTTCAGGCAGAACGGTGACGATGCAATTGTAGACATAGAAGTTAGGATGAAGGCGGACAAAATAGCGGGGATAATGCAAGAGGGTTTGCTTAAGAAATTTAAGTTGACCAGCACTTTAAGCACAAGCAACATGCATCTATTTGACGCAGAAGGGAAAATTAAGAAATATGAGAATCCGGAGCAAAGTATTACATTTATCATGTGATGTTTTGAATAATATCAATCATCAAATAATGTTCTATACTCACTGTTTTACCTTATTTCTTTTACAGTCCTTGAAGAGTTTTTCCCACTTCGGCTGGAGTATTATGAAAGAAGAAAGGTTAGTTGTTGTGTTGGTAAAGGGCGGGTCTTTGTATTTCAAACATATTAGTGAGAACTGAAGTGCAATTTGGGTGTGCTTGCAGAAACATATACTGGAAAACCTTGAACGACTATTGCTGGTTTTGGACAACAAAGTTAGGTTTATATTAGGAGTTGTGAATGGGGAAATTATTGTGAGCAACAGGAAAAAAGCTGAATTGTTGATTGAGCTGCAGCAGAAAGGCTTCACTCCCATGCCAAGGAAAGGTAAATCTGCAGAACCCCAAGTTGCTGGGGCAGATGATGAACAGGATGATGACAACAACACTAGAGAGCAGGAAACTAGCAGTGTTGAGGGGGCAAAACGAGGTGACTATGAATATCTGTTATCCATGTCTATTGGAACTTTGACCCTCGAAAGTGTTCAGAAGCTGCTAGCAGAGAAGGATGAAAAGGAAAAGGAGTTTGAGATTTTGAAGGCAACACCGTCGAAGTCTATGTGGTTGAAGGATCTAGATGAGCTTGAGAAGAAACTTGATGTGGGAGACATTACTCACTTTCAAAATCTTATTTTATATTCGAATAATGACTTGTCCTTTTAACTATTTATTTTTTTTGTGCAATACAGGAATCAGCTAGCAAGGAGGCTGAGGAGGAACGGAAAAGATCCAGTCAAGCGAATAGAAAGACCTCCTACCGTGGAGAAACAAAAGCTGCAGCTAAGAAGCCACCACAACCGCGAAAGTATACTAAGAAGGCCAAAAATGTTGTTGAGCCAGAGAATGATAATTCTCCAATGGAAGTCGGTAAGTCTGAATTAAGTTACTATTGCTAATTTTTTCTAACCTGAACGATTGTCTGATTCATAGATTATATTAACTGTGAATCAAGTTACTATATTGCTAATTACTAATTAGTAAAAACTATTTGCCTCATCAGAGAATGTTGCTGAAGTCCCTAAACCAAAAGGCAGAGCAGGTTCTAAGAATTCTCTGAGTTCTACTCAGACGACGGTATGCCAATTGCGAAATCTTGTCTAAGTAGTTTGTTTGGTGCAAGTTTTGTTGGAGGACTAACTCTTGTCATATATGCCTATCATCAGGTTGCTGATGATGAAATTCTGTCTCTTCAAGAGCGCCTAGCTGCATATAACTTCGGAGCATCTAGTGATATATCGGCAGGTAAATGTTTTTGGGCTAGAGTTTTTAATCTTCCCATAAAGTATGCAGTACTTAAGTTAGTATTTACTTTCCACAGGCATGGAAACTGAAGAGCCTCCAGCACCTGCTGGGAAGAAGGAGGCACCTAAAAGAAGGGGTCCTGCAAAAAAGAAGTCAAGTGCTATAGTGTTGGATGACTCAGATAGTGATGATGCAGCCAAGAACGACAGCGAGGACGATGACTTTGAAATCATACAGCCGGTTGCCGCAGCAGGGAAAAAGAAAGGAGGGAGAAAGCCTGCCGCTGCAAAGAAGCCACCTGCAGCTGCTACCAAGAGAAACGTGGGTGGCAAGCAATCTCAGGTATTAGGGCAGAAACTCATAACTGATATGTTGGATAGCACAGGGGTATCACCAGAGAAGAAAGTGAGGAAGATGAGGGCTTCTCCATTTAACAAGAAAAGCAGTTCTGTGTTGGGAAGGGTTGCTGCTACTGCTGAGAAAGATGATAGTGTAAGTGAAGAATTGTCTGGTTCTGCGGGTTCTAACTCAAAATCTGAAGCTTCTCCAAGCACCACAGATGATGTTGTTGAGATTGCAGCAGCACCAGCAAGAGCTAGACCCCAGAGGGCCAACCGTAGGAAAACGACATATGTGTTGAGTGACACTGAAAGTGATAATGATTCTGATGACAATGAAGAATTTTCTGATTTTGAGGAAGATGATGACTAGGCCTCTGGGTGGTTTGTAGAAAGTAGAAACGTGATCTGCGTCTTGCGGATTTTAACTTCAAGTGATGACTGTGAACTTATTGATGATTTGCACTAATTTGTATGGTTTCGGATATTGTCTTCATGAATGAAATAGATTATCAATCATGTACACATTAAGATGTGGTTTTACGCGTATGAGAGTAGTCATAGTACTCGTAAGTAGAAGGTTGATAAAAATATCATGACGAACCAAAAGAAGTTAATCTATCAATGTAAACATTTTCTTCCTGAAAAATATGGGAATCTTAAAATCGCATTTTAGTAACAACTATTCCGTAGATCCTAAGGGATAATATGTTCATTAGATAAAAATATAAAATCACCAAACGAGAGTCATATTTCACCAAAGATTGTGTCATCTAGAATTGTATGCTATAGAAATTTCCCTCATGAATGTAATGAGTTCTGTATGAAGAGTGGTCCTAATGAGAAACCACTAATGAAGATGCTATGATGATCATGAAAAATACTTCCACTAGTTAAATGCAATGAGTCCTAACGTTAGAGGATGCCAATCAACCCAAATAATGCAACTCTTCTTAGGTGCCCTAGTAGAGTAATTCATGTTATGTACGATGAGTCTATTTGACCAATCCTTAGAGAAACACTTGAAAATTGAACTTGAGACAAAAGTAGAAGATATAATCAAATAAATGACATGAGATATAGTAATTATCTTATTTTGAAAATGAGACTATTATGACAAAACTAAACTACCCAAATAATATGCACCAAAGCAATGGAAAGAACGTTTTTCAATTGATTGCTCCACTGCTGTTGGAGGACCTTGAAGAGACTCTTAGGAGAGGAAGGATCCAAATGAAAATGGAAAATGCCTTGCAGCCAAGACCAAATAGTAAGAGCAAAAGGGTACTCAAGAATAAAGATGCATCGAAGATTCAACATCAACACCACAAAGACCATACATAGAAACTACTGTGATGCCACGCTAACATAGGTTTTTCATTAGTAGGTATCTTCCGATGTAGTTAACTCCAAAAAATAAATGATCTAGAGGGTGGGATCGCCCTAGACCAAATGTTACCAGACCAAGCAAATGAACTTCCCTTTTTCCTACAAAAGGAATAAGTTTCCTTGAATGTGAGCATACTATGAACAACTAGAGCCCAAACTGGTCTGTCTTTTTGAGTAAGAAGTGTGCAAATTTTTGACCCTTGCTGAAGATTAGGAATGAGTTGCAATTAGCAAGATGAGATACACCACAAATCATTTACCATAAGTTCACCAACCTTTGTTTGTAAAGCACGACAATGAGCCTCCTCAAGACCAAGATGACTCACAATAAATACCTTCATACACCAAGTATCAATCCAAAATTTCACTTGCATCACCACACGAATTTTTAGCACACTCGCTCTCACATAAGATGAGATACACCACAAATCATTTACCATAAGATCACCAACCTTTGTTTGTAAAGCACGACAATGAGCATCCTCAAGACCAAGATGACTCACAATAAATATCTACATACACCAAGTATCAATCCAAAAATTCACTTGCATCACCACACGATTTTTTAGCACACTCGCTCTCACATAAATCTTTTATAGTCGAACACTTATGATTCTCATGCAATTTTTAGGAGGACAACCTTTAACAACCCCCACTATAACCTACAACTCTCATGATTTGCGTCGAACTACCAACTACAAACAAACATGCAACACCATCCACAATGAACATTCAAACTCGAGATTGTCAACAACACAAAACACGATTTAATAATCGGGGGCCTTACCTTTACCCCTACCTCCCCGCAACCAAACATACCACCAACCTCAAAGGCCGTAGATGTATCTTCAACAAAAGAATCTTCAGTATTATCCTCATTAATAGAATGGTCATCCCTTACCAACTCTCCCTCAATGACATCAAGATCGACACTCAACTTAGTATAAGGAAACTCAAGCGAATGATACACCACCTGAAACACAACTCTATAGAACCCAGGTGATAACTCCTTAATTGGGTTTGTCTACAACTTTGTCATCCAAGACATATACCTTCTAATCTACAACATCATCAAAGATCGCTCAAATGACAACTTCTCCACATCCTCTACATATCCTTTAATCTCTAACATCGCCAGGGACCGCTCCACTAATAACTTCTCTACATCCTCTACTTACATGTCAAACACATGCACAACAACATTCTTCTCAACAGACAAATTCACCACTTTCATTGCCAACAAGTCACCCCTTTTCTTATAATAATCCTTCAAATCCTCCAAACTCTTCCTCTCAACCCCAAAACGTGTGCAAGCCACCACCAGCGCCATTCTCTCCAAGTGACTAGCATCCAATTCTAACCATAACATGTCGACCTCCACCTTCAAAGCTACCACCTTTTCTCGCTTTAGACCATCATTTGGAACAACTTCTCCTTTGATAAAAAATCCAACCATTGCTTACCAATGCCTGCAAGAAATAACAACTGAAGAACCACAAAGGGAAACAAAAAACCTTGTACCAATACAAGTACCAAATTTGATGCATATCATTTATTGCCTATCAATGCAACATAGAAAATCATCAAATCGTGCATTAAATGCTATACGACCCCATAACTCACATCTTTCCCACTTTTGCGACCTTTATGCACCACCCAACTCCAATCCTAACTCTCATGTGGCCATCCACTTTAATTGAAAATGTTTCAGCCTAAAATTGATAGTATGACCTTCACTCACTAATTTAACTATAACTTTAGTTTTAGACATCTTTTTTGGGTGATTCTATCAACATTTAAAAGCTAACATCTAGGACTACAATTCTTATGAAGATCACAGAACCTGATTCTATCAATATCATGCTCGGTGTGGCATTTATTGCACCCGACATGAAGAGGACAACACCCTCTCAAGTGTTCTAATGCCCAATGTGGCTAAAGTCACACCCAACGCAAAACAATGTAGGAACAACATCAAATGGTGCCTAGGACGACTCAGTTGACGTCTAATGTGATATCAATTTTTGAAAAACTTGCAAGATGTGCAAAAACCACACATTACAAATCCCAAACTCCAAAACTTCAATCCAATCCTGTTGGGGAAAAAAATACATATTAGAAGGGCGGTTGAATATTATATATCAAAAACTCGCACTTTTGAAGTGTAGTGAAGTAGTAAAAACTTTGATAGTTGAAATACTGGAAAGTAATCAGACAAAGAAACATGAATCTTTTCTGAAACATAGAGTCTACGTCCAGTTCTTAATCCAACCAAATTGAGTTCCACTATCTTTTTCAAGATACAAGTATTCTTTCAACAAGCCACTTCGGACTCAACCAAAGTAGTCTTTGACTTGCCTCTTCAAGCAACTACCCAAATATTCTTTCAACAAGCCTCTCCAGGCTAAATCACCAAGTATTCTTTTTAATCAAGCCTTTCTAGGCTCAAACACTAAGTATTCTTTTGAAAAAGCCTTTCCAGACTCAACCCTTACAAATGAATTTGAAAAGAGTTACAAAGATAACTTCTTTTCTTCTTAGACATGATGTTATGAAACTTAAGCACAACTAGTCTACAAAGAACTATGTACAAGATTTACAATGAAGAACTTCTTTGTAGTACTTCAACTTTATGTGACTCAGTGTGTTTCTCAATATGCACTTCTTAGTGAATGTTTTTCGCTCTTATTGACAACACTTCTTTCTATATCTCGTGTATTCTTCTTGTTATTGTTTGAAGGCTTGATCCTTTTATAATAGTTTCGAAGAAGATGACCGTTACAACAACTTTTGAGTTAAACTCTTCAATTTTCTTCTTGAGTTGCTTCGTTTGTCTTCTTTGCTGATCCTAGAGATTACTATTGATGCATTTAATGTAAACATTAAATGCCTTTCAGTAGGGCGTGTCTCTCTTATTTGATACTACAAACTTCTTATCACTATTTTCTTCTAAAATGAGTGTGGTAGATTTAATCTCTGCACATAGCAGTTGAGGTCAGAGCAGAGTAGTCTTTTGTAGAACCTTTTCCGTGATATCCAAGATTTTGCCTTTAATGAACTTTGAGAGCTCCAAAGCTTCTTTCTTGTTCAATCTTTTAAGGAATAACGTATTAAATGAAGTTTAATGTTAGACTCATTTTGGAAATATTTCATTTAATGTCCTAAGATAGATTGTATGATTCGTCTAATTTCCTTAATCTAATAGATGATATATATTTTTCACATTTCGTCTAATATGTTATATCTTTTAAAAGAAGTTAATTTTTTTTTGTCATCATTAAAACTTAAGGGATCGTGAGTTATCTTAAAACAAGAATTTTGATTTAACAATATTCCCCTTTTTGATGGTGACAAACATCCAAAAATTTATTCTTTGTTTTATTTGAATGTGATTTTCTTTTTCTGAGAAGACGAAATGAGTGTTCATATTTCAAAAAGAGTTTATAAGATGTATTCAGTTAAAAGATTATCAAATTGATGTGAGTTATACATATACAAGATACAAGAAATTATATGAGCAAATTTAATTAAGATATGATATTTTTCTTATGACATCTGATTCATCATATTTTCTTTGTCTTACCAGTCAAAGGATATTGCATTTGATAGGCTAAGAATCAGAGCATAGGGGAAGCATAAAGAGCTCCCCTTGAAAACATGCATGGTTGAAAAATTGATGTAATAAAGCAACATAGAAATATATTTTATTATATCAAAAATGTATCTTGAGAAGTAGACAAGGAGGAATAAAACAAAAAAGGAAAGAAAAGGAAATTGAAAATGTTTTGAAAATGTTGCTTCTTCTCCTTCGTGTGAAAACGTTGATTATTCTTCTCCATTTTTTATCACCAACAAAAAATGGATTTGGTGTGGTGTGGTGGAAGAACATAGAGAGAATGAAGGAGCATAAGAAAGAAGGTGGAGTGGACGAAATGGTGGAGAAATTTGGGAACAAGAGGGTAGAGACAAAATGACTTGGCAAAAGATTCATTTGACTTAGTTGCCCAAAGACTAAAGTTGGCATTGGAGCAATGTCATGAGAAGGAGTGTCAAGGAAGACTAGAGTGCCTGGTCAACCCAATCAAAGGAAGCGATTGGAAAGACATGAAGAGAGTAAATATTTAGGTAGGATGAGCACAACAAAAGAGATGTTAGAGAATTTGAATTTGATGAGAAAAAGATAAGAGATGAGTGAGTTTTATAAGCATAAAAAGACATCGAAAATAAAATAATAAAAATAAAAAATATGATGTAGAAGGTCAACAGGTTGGCGAGATGACGTGACAAATGAGAGAAGATTTGATACTAAGTTGACAAGTCTCTAGAGTTTCTAAGACTTCCACTAAGTATTCTTGCGAATATCAATGCTCTTGACACACTTAGACAAGCCGTTAGTGCATATGAGCTATACAAAGTTACCATATCAGATTTATGCCAATGAAATATGATAGACGTAATAACGATCAGATGAAATATGCAGTATGAGCAGATGAAACATTGTAAGATGACGCATGAAACATCTATTCTAGTATAAATTTTAATGCTAGGTGATTTCTAATGAATATGATCCGCTCTTCAGCTAAAGCTTTTGGAAAGATATCAACTCACTGATGATTAGTGTTAATAAATTTTATGTCAAAAATACCTTTTTGAACATAATCACGAATGAAGTGACATGTTATCTCAATATGCTTAGCTTTAGAATGTTGAATTGGATTTTTAGACAAATTTATAGCACTACTGTTATCACAAAATACATATATATTAGATTCAAGACTTGAGTAGTCTTCTAATTGATACTTGACCTATAGTAATTGCGAACAACACCCAACAGTTGAAATGTATTATGCCTCTATTGTTGAGAGGGCTATAGAGTTCAGCTTCTTGCTAGCCCAAGATATGAGACAGTTTCCCAACAAGTGACATCTTCCTTTGGTGCTCTTTCTTCCGCATAGCCTCTATCATAGAACCCTGCTAACTTGAAATTGTTGTGCTTTCATAAAACAAGCTAAGGTTAGTAGAACCTGCTAGATATCTAAGGATTCTTTTTACAGCTTTTAGATGAGACTCTTTAGGATCAGATTGAAATCTAGCCTAGAGATAAACGCTGAACATGATATCAGGTCTACTTCTAGTGAGGTAGAGTAGGAATTCAATCATGCCTCTATAGCTCGTCTGATCTACAAACGTTCCAGATTCGTCTTTTGTCAACCCTATAAATGGATGCATAGGTGTGGGCATTGGCTTACACAGATTCATCTTGAATCGTTTGAGAAGTTCCTTGATGCATTTTTGTTCATGAATGTAGATCCTTTCATTTGTCTGCTTGATCTATAGACCTAAGAAGAACTTTAGTTTTTTCATCATGCTCATTTCAAACTCGGTCTACATTAGCTTTGAAAAATCCTTACAAAGATATTCATTAGTAGCACCAAAGATGATATCATCAACATATATTTAAACAAAAATAAAATCAATTCCAAATTCTCTTCTAAAAATAGTTGTCAACTTTGTCTCTCTTAAAGTCATTTTCAAGTAAAAATTTGTTTAATTTGTCATACTATGCTCTAGGAGTTTGTTTCAAACCATAAAGAACTTTTTTGAGTTTGAAAACATAATTTTTGAACTCAGGATTTTCAAACTAAGAATAATAATTTTAAGATTTATGATTTTCATAAATCCTAATTTCCAAATATATATATATATATATATATAATATTTTACCTTATATCAATCGTCCACTAAGTTTTAAATATAGAATTAGATATACTACTTCAAACCCAGTTGATATACTAACAATTATATTTAAAACCTATATATTAACTAACGTATACATTAATTATCAAATCAATCAGGATAATGAGAGAGAGGTTAATCGGTACATCACTTATTAAAAAAACTATTATTATTATGATGATATATTTATTTTATTATTTAATAAATTAGAAATTTATTTGTAACAAATTAAACTAAATCTATTATAATTTGATATTTATTTTATTATTTGAAAGAGTTATTATTATTATTATGCAACATTGATATATTTTTTTTACCCGCATTGAAATAAATTAAAATCAAACATAATCTAGGTTGTGATTTGTAGTAAGGGAAAATATAAAATTTCAGTCTCAACATCATTTTTTTTCAAAATTACAATAACAAAAATAATAATATATGCATCCGTAACTTTTTTCGTATTACTCTAATTTACAAAAATATTTTTACCTACATATTTTTTACATATCACACTAATTTACATATTCAATTTGAGATAGGATCATCTCTCATAAAAAAGAAATATTAAGTAGATGAGAGTGAAACTTATGAAGGGATAAGCGAATATTCGTGGTAATTTAAATCATTCATAATTTGTTTCATGAAAGTGTTCTGTTGATTAATTTTTTTTTTTATTACTTACGACATAGAATCGAATTCAGTTTCCATTTTACTGAAAATTTGGTGATTGTCTCCAACTTTATATAATGTCATGTTTTGTGTTGCACGATCAAAAGAGCTTATCAATAATTTTTAGTGGCATGTCAAGTTCTCTACTGAGTTAGCCGCAGGTAGCCCCTAGTTTGAAAATTAAGTGGTTTCCATCTCCATCGGAATGTTATAAACTCAATTGTGATGGAGCTGTTAGAGAAGGTGGTCTAGCTTCTTAGTTCTTGTGATGGTGTGAATCGGGATCTTTGTGATCAGTATGTATGTGCCCTCTGTATCAAACTAGGCATTTGTTCAGTGATACATGTTGAGTTATGAACAATTTACTATGATCTAAAGGTGATGCAAGAGAAAGGTCTTCTTAGACATGTTTGTTTTAGTTGAGTCTGATTCTTTTTTGGTTGCAAAATTTTTAAATGATGGGTGTTATAGATATCACCTTTGTTATGTCTTAGTTAATAGAGTCTTAAACTTAGTGAATCCAGATTCAGAGGTCACTTGTTTTTATATTTTCTGAGAAGCTAACTAAGTTATTTATATTTTAGTCAAACGAAGTGGAGTTATGAGTGATGGATTACATATTTTTGAGGGACCTTCCACTACATTGCGTGAATTTATATCATAGTTAAAAATTAGAAGCAGTCAGATGAAAAGATAAAAAAAAAAAAACCAAAGAAAGTAAAGTTACAGATATTTTAAAAATTAAAACAGTTAAATAATATGTATTCATTTGGAAGAGGAACTCAGTTCCCTAGGTAAAGACTAGACGATTGTGCAGTGAAATATGAATTAAAGAGACCACAATATGAATTATCTTATTTGATTTGATTTTATTCATAAAAATTACAATTACAATGAAAATAGGATTCGGATCTTATATTTTACGCATATTACTCTAATCTATCCGCCACAAGTGGACCATTATAGTTCTTTCATTTTTCATTAAAGGGACCAAATTATGAATATTGAGTTGACCAACAGGACAATAATAGTCAAGCCGTTCATATTTCATTTTGAGTTTTTTTGTATAAGTTTTAAGTCACTCAAGGATCCAAGATAAAATATGGAATTTACTCTTTCTAACAATTACCACCATAATTTGTTTCATGCAAAGGTTTTCGCCATATCCTAAATATCATTTACTTTGCAAAGTAATATTGATGTGTGTCTTTTAATAAAGTTGTTCGAATTTAAATTTTGATTTTATATATGAAATAAATTATGTTGTGAGATAGATACTTATTTTACCTATGTTTATAGGTTTCAACAAATTCGATAATATATATTTCACATCAATAATACAGTTGAATTTGGACACTGGCTGGATTCTATTCATTAACATCAACCAAATACATTAGGAAATATGTTTGTGCTAACTCACCATTGAGGCAAAGTAAGAGCCCTCGATGAAACACACAGTAGAAATTACAAACCATACTTCCTACAACAGAACCATTGTCATATTTACACTTTGCTGAGAGTATCATTGCCTGCATATTCAAACTTTGAATTGCAGACAGAGATGGTGAAGTTTTCGAGGACTAATAATGTACATTGAAGATGCTTATGCTGAAGAAAGTCATGAGCATTAGAAGCCTGAGTAAACATGAAGATGGCACATTCCTATTGCTAGATGGAACTTGAATAAGATGATGTTATCTTTACAATTTTCATCACTAACTGACTCTAGCAGTTACCTGTTTCCTTTCTACAATTAGTATCTACTTCTACACTACCTATCCATCTAACATCATATTATAGAAAAGTCTTCATCCAACCCATCTATTTCTCCTTTAAGCCTATGTTGTTGGATGATCAAAACAGAAATAGTGGCTGAGAAGTCTGATCCTGAAAGAACATCCCCTATTGGTCCCAATTCCGGGCACTGTTGCCAATCATTCATGCCCAGTGTCAAAATAGAGTTCATTCCTCCTTCTCTTCCAACAATCACCAATGAGTATTGCCCTTCAAATGATTTGAGAGTGGAGAAGGTCTCAGAAGCATTTGCAAGATGCTTCTCCATGTAGGAAATCCTACCTCCTAACACATGCCTCTCATAGAACTGTGTAAAGCATTCATCATCCGACTTCATCTCATTCTCCTGCTCTGGAAGGATGATCCTGTACAACGTTGAGGATTCTATGCTGGTATCTACCAGGAATCTTAGTACTGTGAGCTTAACTTTTGGATGCTGCGCCACACGGCTAGCATAGGCAAGTGCTTCCCTATCATCTTTTCCACCAATGAATATGACTGCCACATTAAGTTCTACTTCACATTTTGATATCTGTTCAAGTGATCCAAAGCCTCTGTCTACTAGAATCCCAACAGAACAAGGGGCACTTCTTAGTACCTGTGCAGCAAAACATCTATTTAATCAATGTCTATTGAAAGAGTTAACTCTTTGGTACTAATAGACCAAATTCCATGAAACTTGGAACAAAACAATTGTGGTGGGATATGAAACATGAAACATGAAACATGAAACTTGAAACAGTTAACTATGATGCTATAACTTTAGTAAAATACTGTCTTTCACATGGTGGTGGTGGGATAAAACAATTGTGATTAGAGTCAATTGGGATCAAACAATTGGATTTATTATGCTATGCCATTGGCTTTTGTTTTAGCACTAGCAATTTATGAGAGATATTGTTAATACTTGCTGCATAATCCCTATTGATTATTTGTTTAATACTAATTTAGTTTAATTACCATTTTGGTCTCTATAGTTGTACAAACCTTACCTTTTAGTTCTTATAGTTAAAAATGTTTCATCTTAGTTCTTATATTATATCATTTTTGTTTTCTTTTAGTTCCAATCGTCTATTAGTATAGTTAAAGTTTTTAAAATTATAAGGACTAAAATGAAAAAAAATAATACGTAACTAAAATAAAATATTTTTAATTATAGGGATTAAAAGATAAACTTCATAAAATTATAGGGACCAAAATGGTAACTGAACCTAGTAATTTTTATTTTCCTTTTTGAAATGTATGCAATTAAAAATTGAGGCTCTTCGAGTTTTAAATTTAGAAAATTAGATACTCTTTCTAGAAGTTTATCATGGAAAGTGACTTTCAGCCACTGGTAATGCAATTACAAACAATCTTTTGACCGTGGGACTTTTAAGCCTTATAGGTTGGTACGTTGATGGAGCTGGATGCAAAGTGCAGGCTGCATATGAAATACAAATTAAAAATAGTGTAGGTTCTTCAAATCTTGTTTAATTCCACAAAACGATAGTTTTTGAGTGAGTAGTATGCTATATGTAAGAAAATATTCTGTGTATGTTTGGTTAAATTTCTCCATAAGCACTTCTAAGAGAGAAAAAATGAAGGAAAAATGAAATATGTTTTTCCATAAGTTAAAATTAATTTATTTATGCACAAGTTAATTAGTAGAAGCTATCTCTTATGAACTTGTCCAAAATCTTATTTTTATCTCTCGCATAGTTTTAGTATATGGAGAAGTTTATTTCAATTTTTCTTTTTATTTTTCACACTTAGAAGTGTTTGTGGAGAAGCTTATCCTGGAATAAAAGATGTATTTAGGTTTACCTTTCTGTTCACGTATCTGAAGCCTGAATTACCAGCATCAAACTTTCCATCCTCACGCTGGCTCCTGTGGAATGGCAATATGACAAGGGCAATCATCAAGTCCTCTGCCAAAATGCAAATGTCTGCTGGCATGGTAGTGATTGTTGAGAGTGCCATTGTTCTTTTGAGTGTAATGCCATCATCATTCTCCATCACATAGTCTTGGAATGACTTGGTAACTTGTTCTCTCATGTCCATGACTTCCTTGTCTTTCAATGTGGTTGCGTGCAATCCTTCGTCCCTCTCCAATGAGTCTGATAGTTCATCAGTGAGTTCAATCATGTCAGTGACATACACCACAATGCCGGCGTCAGCGGTTCCTCTCGTGATCTCAACCAAGTTGATGGAGGCAGGAACATTCTGAGGCCCTTGAACACACAGGAGGATCCTCATCTCACTTGAAGGGTCAAGCAATTGAATAGCCAAACGATGTGTAGGTGCTCTTTTCTTTGCTCTTCTAATGATGTTTGCCACAATTGCTGGGGCAGGCAAAGCTGTTAAAAAGGTTGCCATTACCATCACAATGCCTGTGGAAACACTTGCAGCACCACAACCTATCTGGTAATTAGTAGAACAACAAAATATGAGCCTAAGAACTTGAAGCAATCCAATGGCAAACATGATTTCAGTTACTTTTGTGTTGTAACAATTCTAAAAGAATACATAAATAAATAAATATTAGTTATTAGTCTTCTGCATACACAATTTCTGGCATAAGCTTCATAATTTTTGGATCCTATATTTTTTTGTAAATGACACGAGTTTTCAGATGCATGATAATACTTTTATCAAGTAGAAATGGTCCCCATGCCTTTCTCATAGTTATAAGCTACATCAATTTACACATAATGTATTTAAGCTATGGGGATGAAGTTACTTCAAGAGTGACTCTCGACAGAGTTACTCCATTCAATAACTCACGGTATGTATTAAATTTCAAGGATCCAACCATAAATTTGATTTGAATTTATGTAACAAAATATCAAATAACTTTCAAATTTTACTAAAGTTTATACTTAATTTATTCAATAAGAACTAGAAATTCAATGTACACATTGAGTTATTAAGTAGAGTAATTCTAGCTAGAGTTACTTTTAGAGTAACTTTGATCCCCACCCATATGAGCTATATGACATTGACATGCATATCAGTAATTGAAATCACCAAGTTACACTGAAATTTCATCATTTTTTCACACAAGGATCATGTTGGTCCAGAATGTGTGCTATAACAAACCCAAAGTGGCAAGAAATTATAAGCAGAAAGACTAACCACTTTGATAGCCAAGTAGATATGCAAATGGCCCTTAGTGACAAGAAGCAATCCTATTGCAACTGATTCAGGCCAGCGAAATCCCAGCATGGCCCCAGCGATAATTGTTCCAGCAACTTTTCCAGCTGTTGCCACTATCAAGAGCGAAACAAATCTGACCCATGTCAAAGGATGACGTACATCAAACATCCTGAAATTGGCCTCATACCCCATCCACAAGAAAAAGATGGGAAAGAAAATAGAGGTCAACATGTAGTTGATTCTTGTGATAACCCATTTGGAAACTCTACCCTCCCTTGGAACACAAAGGCCTACAAGAAAAGCACTCAACATAGGGCTATAATCATACAAAGTGGTGAAGGCACACATTAACACCATGAAGGCTAGTGAGAGCACCAAGTGTGGACCCTTCATGGGCCTACCCTCAGGGTTCTCATTGCTAACCCACTTCATAAGCATTGGAGAGACCATAGAAGTGAACACTACTTGCACCAAAACTGCACACCCCATTTTGATGCTCTCCCTAGGTTTAGGCTTAAAATCCATCATTTCTTGAAATTGGTTACAATATTGTGGCAATGGCAGGATTATGTACCCAATTGAAAGGATCAAGTAGCAAAGAAAATCTGAGTGCACTGCTGCTCCAATCATAAGCTTGCCAATATCAGACTTTCCTATCTTGAGCTGAGTCATCAAACGAGTGAGCACAGGTGAGTCTGTGTTAGTGAGCATGGTGGCGAGGGAGAGGGTAAAACCCAGAACCCTGTGTTCACCAGGGAAGAATTGGAGCATTGGAGCCATAAGACCTGCAACGATGAACGTGCATATAACTCCTGAAACAGCAACTTTTGTGTACTTAGCTGGTCTTGCAAGGAGCACTCGTGGATCCATCTCTATCCCCAATGCAAACATGTAACACATCATTCCAAAATCTATGATGAACCCAAATGTCAGGTTGAATTTCTGAAACAGCCTTCGCACAATTCCTATGTTTCCCACAGTTAGTCCTACCTGCATAAACCAAAAACAATATCATCACTAGCATTCTTCATTTTTTTTTCTCTTCAATATCTTTTTAATTTCTCAAATCTACAATAAATTTAAGTTTAGTTCCTCAAATTCAAAATTATTATTATTTTCATATAATTTAAAGAAAATTTTATTTTAATTCTTCTTTAAAATAATTATCTCAGATATGTCATTTTCAATTATTTTATTAAATATATGAGTGATTAAAACAATTGTTTTTTTTTAAAATTATATAATAAACATTCATTTTAAATTTGAGGAAGAAAACATAAATTTGAATAACTAAACACATATTTAAACATGATGATGAAGGGAGAAAGAAGAAGCTCACCATTATGTCTGAAGTAATGCGAGGAAGTTTATAAGGCTTTAGAAGAAAACGTAAACCATTGCACGCAATCACCATCCCCAAATATATAACAAAGTTTTTAGCTACTTCCAAAATGAGGTTACCTAACTTGTCTCCACACAGTGTTGTCTGCGTACCCACCACCGCCAAGTTGAAAGGCATATTTACAACCAAAATAGTTTAGATATATTCTTCCTCTTTCTTTCTTTCTTTCTTCTTTTTTTCTTCTTCTCTAGATTATGATCTTGTTTCTTCTTGTTTAGCAGCATTGGTCACCAGGGACAACATTTTTTTCATTCTTAGGTTTGTTTTGTTTTGTCAATGGATAATTGTCTCCGAAGCTTTTCCATGAGTGGCTGTGATTCGTAGCTTTGTTTCAGGAGACACTAGAGGAGGATAACATGCCTTATGTGGGATGTGAAATTATGAACCGAAAAACATGGATACATCACAAATCTTCCATTTCATTCTTCTCACTAATTAACTGCATTCTCATAGATCATATTCATTTTCTCCTTTTCTTAGTGTTATTCAGATATAGGCTATCCAAAGTTTAGGACTCAAAAATGTTCAAAATGGTTATTGTTTGTGTTGAGCAATAATTCTCAATTTTATTTAATCATTATACTTAATAGTGTAAAAAAAATATTTTGTGTCTTCGTGGTATTTTTTTAAAATGCACACAAGTTAGTAAGGTAATGTGTAGCGGTGAAGAAGGAGGGAGCCGTCACCTCTCAATGTTTCTTTTTTTACACAATTAAAAGATATAATTGATTGTTAGTATAAATTTTTTTTATACTAACAGTATATAAATAAATAATTAATTATATATATATATATATATATAGTGGTAATTCAATAATAACTTTAAGAAAAGATCTTTGTCATAAAAAAACTTGTGTGACCTTTATTAATTATTATCATCCAATTTATATAAAGAGTTAAAATTTTAAAAAATAATGTGTACACTAAAATAAACAATTACCTTTATATGTAATATAAATATATAAAGGTTATTTTTTATTTTTGTGTATACATTATTTTTTATTTATCATTTTAACCTTTTAAATGAAGTGAAAATAATGATAATATTTAAGAAAAGTCAAAAAGTCTTTTGCTATAAATTTTTTCTTATAAACCTGTTTTTGAATAACAATATTTATTCACTAATACCACTAAGGATTCATTTTTATAGGATATGATATTATATAAGAGTAAGATAGTGTACGAGTAGGATATGCTAAGAATAGGATAAATTTTACTCATATACAACTTTTAATGCATATCATTATAAAAAATAAGATAATATTATTATGTTATATGTTTTGTATTTAATTTATACCAACAAAATATTATATAAAATCTATTCAAGTAACAAAAATTATGTTTTATTAAAATTATGTATAACTTTTTTATAAAATCAAGTATTAATTTATTTTTAAAAAAATTAAAATTAAAAATATAATTTTACCTCTATATATAATATAGATTTTTTATTATTTATGTAGTTACTTTTCTTAAAATTATATAATATTTTTAAAGTTATAGTTATTTTCAAATATTTTTTAAGAAACTATTTAAATAATAATTTTTTATTTTAGTATTTTTATTTTTACATGTCAAAATAGTCCCTATATAATAAATACGAACGAGTATTTTGCGCGATAATATTTTTAGGAGTTATTCTTCGATGAGATGACTTTTAGAAATTCTTGTAACTTATTATCTGATTCAATTTTATATTTATTTTAATACTTTTAAAATAAGTTATCAATAGATAAAAATAATTTTGTGTTACAATATAAATTACTTATCTTAAATTTAAAATATAATCATATGTTTAAAAAAATCTATTTATACAAGTTTTAAATAATATAATATATAAGTATATATTATGTCAAAAAAAATTTATATGAACAAGGTATCAAATAATTTTGTATTAATAATTTTTTTTTATATATATATCACATATGTAAAATGAACTTTTAATTCAACGGTTGAATTGACTACATTCACTTTTTTACATAGAGTTATTGAAAGGTATAATAGTTGTAAAAGTTAAACCAGTGTTATTTTATCCCTTTCCATCGGCATAAATTTTGAAACTATTATACCTTTTAATAACTATGTATAAAAAGTGAATTTGGTCAATTCAATTGTTGAATTATAAATGTATATTGCCTTGAATGCATATGTAAAATTTTGTTAAAATTGAACAATAATAAGAAAGTAATCAAATTATTCATATTTTAGTATATTTTAAAAAATATATATTACGTTAACTTTTATTTATATGAATGAAATATCAAATAATTTTGGATTAATAAAAGTGTATATATATATGTGTGTGTGTGTGTATGTGTGTGATCTATGTAAAAGGAACTTTCAATTCAACAATTTGATCGACCAAATTCACTATTTATATAAAATTATTGAATGGTTGTAAAAGTTGCACGAATGTTATTTGATCCCTATCCATATATAAAAAAAATTACAAGGAGATAAATTTTTAATCTAAATGACCCAAAAATACAAAGTCAAAAATAAAGAAAAATATACAAAGAAGATATGGACTATAAAAGTAACATATAATTCAAGATGAGCTTAGACCTTTTATCTTCATCTCTAACTCATTCCTCTTGTGTCGTCTTTGTTGGGAAAACAATTCAAATTTTCAAATTCAAATTTCTGGGATATTATTTAGATTTTAAAAGATATTAATTCTTTTAGGATATTGTTTTGAATTAAAATATATTGTATTTATTTTAGAAATTTGTTTCCTCTTTTTAAGATTGTGATCTAAGGTCAATAAATAGAGACTCTTGAGATGAGAAAAATTACCCAACCTGTAGAGGGGGTCACGACCTTAAATGAGAGAGGAAGTCATATGAAGGAGGATTTCCAAGTTTCACTAGAAAACTTGTGAAAAAGGATTTTACAAGTCTCACCCGTAAAACTTGTGAGGAAGGGGTTTACAAGTTTTACTCATAAAACTTGTGAAGAAGGGATTTTCAAGTTTAACCCACAAAACTAAAAGGAAAAGTTTTCAGGATATATATATTTTGAGATAAATAATGAACATCCTTGTGAACGTAAGCATGAGGGGCTAAATCACTTTAAATAAATTTGTGTGATCTTTCTCTATTTTTTATGATATTATTTAAATATATTTTTCATTATTATTATTGTGCATAAAAGAAAAGAAGATTTTTTTGTTCCCATCATTAACATCGCTCTTGTGATAGGTTCTTTAGATGGTAATATTCTATCAATTCTACACAATGGATTAAAAAACCAATAAAAATATTGAAGTCTACTTTCTTTGTGGAAATGCAACTTCAAGTTAATGATCTTTTTGACAAAAGATTTCAATTAATATTGACTTTTTTTAAATCACAAGCTTCACTATAATTTATTTTACAACTAGCATATTTTCTTGCATTTTTTTATACACTTGTTGCTTTTCTTTTCTTTTGGAGCAAGATGTGACTTCACTTTTTTTTCTAGATCTAAATGTATGACACACTTTTCAAAGGAATAGAACTCAAAAATTGCACAAATTGACAAAAGAAGTAGATACTCAAAATTGAACTAATTTGATGAACTTTTTGATGTGACACTTATTTTTAATTTGTGCTTGTTTTTGGACCGAAAGAATTTCTCATATAATCAAGTTCAAATCAATAAGTTTATGCATAAAATCTTTTCATATAGTCTCACCAAATTCAAATTCAAATTGAGCCACAAAAATAATAGAAAAATAAGAAATAGTAAAAACTACTAAATAAGTGGAAGCCTAACTACTAAGGAAGATGTTAATGGTCTAATAACATGCAAGAACTCAAAAATTATTAATCAAAAAGCTCTTTAACACTCTTGGCCAACAAGCATAAGTTCATGCAAATTTAAGATCAAGCAAAATTAAAAGGTTACATTAAGAGTTTATTATCATGTAAGAACTATACACAACCTAAGATAACAAGATATGTGGATTCAAAACCAAAATCCACTCAAAATATTTTTTTAATTTTACATCAACATACTTTCACACACCAAATTAAATGAAAAAGCACAAGGAATGTGAATCCTAAAAGCATAACACAAGATATTGTTCATACAAGAGTAGATCTAAAATTGAACCATAGAAATTTCATGACAAACAAGTAGATCCAAGATTTATCATGGAAAGGCTAGATCAACTACTACAAGATCTATGGATTCAAAACCAAAATCCACTCAAAATATTTTTTTAATTTTACATCAACATACTTTCATACACCAAATTAAATGAAAAAGAACAAGGAATATGAATCCTAAAAGCATAACACAAGATATGGTTCATACAAGAGTAGATCTAAAATTGAACCATAGAAATTTCATGACAAACAAGTAGATCCAAGATTTATCATGGAAAGGCTAGATCAACTACTACAAAACTTATACAAGACATGTAAAGAATTAGATGAGGAAGAAGAAAATTAGACACTTAAACCTCCATAGATGAACCACGACTCTAGATACAAAAAATGATAGAGTCAACCTCTAGCAATGGTAGTTGTGATGTGAAACCCTGTATGATCAAAATTTCAATATCTCAAAACATGAATTCTTTGGACAATTTTTTTATAAGAAAATAAGGAAACTAAAAAGAAAAAATATGGATTGAGTTAAGAAATTGAAGAATAATGCCACAATCCCTAAAACTTGATAAGTTGAGGAAGATTCGCCACTTTGAATTAGGCAATTCAAGGATAAGAATCAAAAGTAGTTCCTAAGAACCTAGAGAGAGAAAATCCTCTCAATTGAAAAAATATCTAAATTCTAATTAATTCATTCTCTCCTGAAATCTTACAAAAGGTTCCTATTTATAAGCTTAGATGTGCAACAAGACATGAATTCACACTAAGACTCCACTTAGAAATAAACTCTCACTAACACTTAATTTTCACTAGAATTGACTCCCCATTATCCCTCTAATATCATTATGATTTAGGAAGTCTAAAAGCACTAAAAATTGACCTAAACAACATAAAAAGACATATGAATTATTTGAATAAAAAGAAATACAAAAATTACATTAATAATTAACAAAATGGGCTTAAGCAACTATTTAGCTTAAAAACTAATTAAACTTCAATCCATGAATGCTTCTTCTTGATCATGTGCATTTGAATTTGTCATGTTATCTTCAAATTGGGCTAAAGTCTTCGTCATTAGATGACATCTTCATAGGCCTTATCATGCAAATCAATCCATCTTCTTTATTTCTAAAATTCTTCCAAGTGTAGCTTTTGATTGATTCCATCAAGCCAAGCTGCCTAAATTGATTCTTACTTCCCTTAATCTTCATCCACGACTCCAAAACTTGAAAGAAAAATTCAAATGGAAGACAATGGAGGTTGAAAGGTGGCATCACTCTTCAAATGAAGAGATGAGCCAAGAAATGAGGTTCTTGCCATAAGGAAGAATTCCTTGATGAAAGAACTTAAGGAGTCACACTCATCTAGAAAGAACACATGACTTTTGAAGGAGAATCAAAATGATTTCACTATCATATATCCAAAAGTGGTGTGTACAATGAAAGAAGGTCCTATATATGTATAGACTAGCCTAGCTTATAGTTAGAAATGAACCAAGGTTTCTTAACTACACTAGGTTGGGGCACCAATTTGAAATTTGAATTCCAAACTTAGGTGTTCCATGTGCCAAGTAGGTGTCTTATGTGCCCCTATGTGATTAGATCTAAAAGAAACTATGAAAGCTTGTCTTGTGACAAGTGTGAAAGGTGTGACTAATGTGTAAAACATGTGACTAGATGAGTTTGTGTAGCCTATGGTAAGGTGTAACATACACCAAGTGGGTGTTATACTCTAGGAGTAGGCACCACTCACCATTAGTCCAACACAAGCCCATTTAGTATTTTTTACATATTAGTTGCTCCCCTAAAAATGCTAATTACACCCCCAAAGATAAAAATACAAGGAAATAAAATTCTAAACTACTTGACCCAAAATACAAGGTCAACAAAATAAGGAAATATTTACAAGAAAGATATAGGCTATACATCAAGTAACCTATAACTAAAAAAAAGCTTAGGCCCTCCACCTTCATTCCTAGCCCAATCTTCATGGATCCTCCTAGACATGACCCTTGTGATAGGTCCTTTGGAGGGAGTTATTCCATCACATCTAGTGAGGTGTGAATGGTGTGATGGGGGTGTAGTAGTAAGAAAAGGGGTGTAGAAGCAAACTTGTAAAAAGTGTGACTAGGTGTGAAATATGTGGCTAGGTGGGGTTGTGTAAAGCCAATGGAAGGGTGTAGAGAGTCTAAAGTGAACATCCCACTCAAAAAAAAATCTTTTCCTCCTTCTCTTAGCCCTAACCAAAAATGATGGAACAAGCTTCAAAGAGTGTTTGTCTTCTCTTCAAATATTTTTTCTCTCATAAGATCTTTCATCTTTAAGGAGCTAGGTTGAGGAAGAACACAAAAATGGAGGAGGAAAGGGATGTAATGATGTCACTTCTCAAGGAGTATATAAGTCTAAAATATGACTCACCACAAAGAAAGGTTCATTGATAAGAGTTGCATATGGTGTTGCACTCTTAGAGAAGAACTTAAAGACTCTTGAAATTTGAAAGAAAAACTCAATTCTCATTCTCATATACTCAAAAGTGACATATACCAAGTGGGACACACCTATATATAGGTTTAGTTAGCTTATGGTGCAAGTTTTTAAGTAAACTATGGTCAAGTAGACCACAATTTATTAACTTGTACTCAAGCTAACTAACCTTGGTTGTCCAAATTTGAATTTCAAATGTTTGAAATTCAAAAGTTGACATCCAATGATGAGACCTACACCAACCATTGTGAACTATACAAGTTGTATGGTGTGGAAGGTGTGATGGGGGATGTAGGAGTTAAAAACGGGTGTAAGAGTAAGAAAGGGAGTGTAGGAGCAAACATGTAGAAGGTGTGAATAGGTATGAAACATGTGACTAAGTGGGATTGCGTAAAGCCAAGAGGAGAGTATGGGGAGTCCAAAGTGGATGTCCCACTCAATGAAAAATGTTCTCCTCCCTCCCTTAGCCCAAACAAGCCCAATTTGTACGTTTTCCAATTACTAGTTGCAACCTCAAGAATACTTGGTACACCACTAAAATAAAATTACAAGAAAATCAATTCTTATTCTAATAGAGCAAAAAACAAGGTCAAAATAAAAGAAATATTTATAAGTAAGAAGAAATGAAGTATTATTAAAAACCTAAAGTTCAACATGAGCTTAGGTCTTTCTACTTTATGTCTAGTATAGTCCTTTTGGCTTTTTTTGGATTTGATTCCTAAGCATGATTGCATCAAGACGCTAAGACAATAACTCAAATCACATGTTAAGACAATATAGCACAATGTTTATGCATGATAGTTTATCAGATTGAACATATTGTTTGCCTCAAATGAATGGCTTAAAACAAATGTTTGATGTTTCTATCATCTAATTTCACTATATTCCTTAACAAATTGAAAGAATAAAAACATCTCTGATACTCACAACACAAAAAGGAAAGAGGTTTTACTTTTTTTCAAAGAAAGAACAAACAAATATCTTAAAGCACACAATATTAGCCAAAAGTTATTTTCTTCTGATAGATGCTAAAATTCATTTCCTTTTATACCTCAAAGGTGATAAGCAACATCCTTGATCAGATAATAAATAATTATTTGGTGAAACGCATTATATGTAAACATTATCTACACCACGAAATATCTTCGTACAAGGAAGTAACACAATGCAAGTTGACAAGTGCAAATCAAGGATTTACAATGATAATCTTCGAGACCTACCTATATAAAGAATCTTGAATTTTTCTAGAGAAGAAGAAAAAGTGAACGAGTTTATAGATTCTTTATAAATCATTATTTGCACATAAACATTTATACTGTCTTGTTTGTAAGATGAATTCTTTGTTAGTTTACTCAACTTAAACTTTGTGTTTTCGCTTAAAATTTGAAGAATCTTTGTTGTTCAAAAAATACTTTGGTAGTTTGTATGAAGAGGCCAAATAGGTTGAGCTAGAAGAGGCCACTGAAATAATACTTGTATCATTGTAAAGATAATTGAACTTGATTGAGTTGATAAAAAACTAGACATAACCTTGGTTGTTAAGACGAACCCGTATAAAAGTACTTTTTTTTTTACTTGTCTATACTTCTTTGGTCTTAATTATTTACTTTACTGCTTCACAAAAAGGTGTTGAGTGTTCTACAGACACTATTTAACTCCCTCTGGACAAACTGTCTAACCTTATTTCACACCACCAACATGAGTGAAATGGACCTTACTCCCAGTTTTGTGTGTCTCTTGTTTGGGCCAAATGCCATTGCAGATGAGGATCATTCATTGGTTGATACAGTGAAAAGGCCTAGACTTTTTATTCTACAATTGGGGTGTCGTCCTTTGATGGGATTATGACAAGAGGGTTCAACTTTTTAGTTTCATTCATTTTATGCTTAAAGGATTTTCAATTGTTTAGTCTCTATAACTTTGTATGACCTCTTGAAGTGCCAAGACATATTTTATTTGTTTGAGGTTTTTAGTTATGAACTATAGTTATTTTATTTTAATGATGGACCTAGTTTAATTGTTGTATTCGACTAATTTTAAAATGTGCATTCTCTACCTTAAGAAAATAAATAATTTATTTTGCTGTTTTATTTAAATTAAATTATAAAAACTCTTTTATAAATTATAATAATTATCGAGAGGTATTTATATCAAATCATTTAAAGGAATGTTAGAATCTGGTAAAAGGCTGACAATGGTATCGCTGCAAAAGATGAGTTGGTCCCTATGGGTAGACTATGATTTTGTGGTGAAAGAAAAACATAGGAATCTAATATATTCTATTATAATATATTTATTCAGTGAAGTTCAACCATAATAATCATTTGTACGATCATACAGGTGGAAATGGCAAGTCTAGTAAAAGAAAGAAGCCAACACAATCTTCAGAATCCAAGTCTGGTTGGACTGCAAGGAAATGCAAACCTCCACTATCTTTCTTAGCTGCTTCCCAAGCTTCAGCTTCACTAGTTGTCTCAGGAGTTTTCTTATAGGTGGAGAATATATACCGAGTTGAAATTCCAACAGAAAGAATCAGGCGAGCACGAGCTGCGTCTGCTTCCACAGCACAAACCTCCAATCCATTTATCAAAGCTGTGGCAACAACAAATGGTGAGAGTTTTCAGAATTTAGAAAACAAGTTTATAGGATAAAAGATATTAACGATTAAACAAGGCATGCTAGTGATGATATGGCAAGGCACATAAATTATGCAAAATATTTTCAGAATCAAGATAGCCAAAAATTTTCCAATAGTAGTAAAGAAACCAGGCATTTTGGTCTCAAAATTACTCGGTGAAATATGTAGGGATTCTGCTATCTATTAGTATTTAAGAATATCCACATAGTAGAAGTTAACAGCCAACATCCATACTCCATTAAGATCAAATGCTAATTTTACTCCTTGGGAAACATTTGACCTAACGATTATCTTGGCTTTTCTTCTCCTTAAAAAGAGAAGTTGGGTCAAATATAATTCTAGGAAAGCTCTTAAGAATAGAAGTAATTTTTTTCTAATGAACAAAAACCCAAAAAACATCTATAGAAACTAATTAGAGGAGCTTTTCAATTTAAGGATAGACGAGCAGAAAAGTTATGCCAAACACTATCTTAGCCTTTGTCCACAAAGTTTTTACCGAAGACCCCAATCTAGCTCTTTTGTCAATAGTTTATGAAGTTTTGCAGAAATTCAGTAAGCTGATTGACCAAATTATGCGCTGAACTCTAGTTACTGTATATATGAGGGCCATACTTTTGCTTAGCTAATTGTTCAATTAATATTTGTAAACCTGGATATATTCCAGTGCGTTAAAAGTGAATGGTAACATCATCAGTATTTGCTGTTCTGTGTTGCATACTGTTTGATTTCATGTGTCAAGACAGTATTTAATTATTCAAAAACCTTCTTGTATGACTTTAACATGGCCCTATCTATGCATCGTTATATACAAAATTTTAGATTATGTTTAAATAAACTTCTCCACAAACACTTATAAAAGAAGAAAATAAAAAGAAAAACAATCAAATTTCTTCCATATGTTAAAATCAATTTATAAATTAGCTTTTGGAGAAGACAGATGAGAGGGTTTCTGTAAAAGAAGTGCATGAGTTGATTTTTAACATATGAGGGAAGCTTAATTCATTTTACCTTATTATTTTCTTCTCCTAAAAGTGCTTTTAGAAAAGTTTATCCAAACAAAATCTTAATGCTGTTTTGCAACATATATCAGCAGCATACCAAATTGCTTGATTTGAGATCTGACATATTACCACTTACCTCTTTAAATAATTGATTTCATGCATACAAATCATTTTAAAGCAAGGCAGTTCTTAATAAAACATAGGAAGAGTCTGTTGTTAGGGACACAAAATGATATATATAAGAAGAAAATAAGAAAATGTGCAGTTCTGTACCTGCCAATGCTGTGGCATTAGAAGCTGCAACAGCCAGTCCTGGGATCAATGTCTTGTCATCAACTTCAAGACCCAATAAATCAAGATCTAGCCCAGAACCACAAACTCCTTTCTCAAAGGATGACACCTCCTCTCGAACAGCTTTAAAATAGGTTATTCAAAGTTAGAGAGCTATATCCTTTGAGAATAAGTTAAAAATTAAACATACATGTTAATCATTTTGTACTAAAAATCAAAAAGGAATGAGACCATTATAACCCATGTAATGTTGTTAGTACCTAAAATTTAAAATAGAAAAAACAAAGAAAGAACATTGATGAGTACAATGAAAATCATATTCTTGAGACCTTGAGTATCAGAAGAGAAAGAAAGAGAGGGCTATCATTTGTCAAGCAATTGAGAAACAAATTGCATGAAAGCTTCTGCCTCTATACCTGAGTAAGGTAATTGGACAAATGCCCATCTTTCCCCATAAAGAATGTCTGGAAGTTCTGTAGGAAAAGGATTATCTAGTGCCAAAAGAGGCTTGGATCCTTCTTGATATCCAGGATGCCTCTTATACACGGTCTCATAGCGCTCCTCTAGCCATAGAATTATTGACACGCACTGAAAATGATCAAATGAACCATATAAAATATATGCTGGGAACCTCTGACAAGAATATTTGAACTTGGTAAATCATTACAAATATATGATGCTAAATATACCATCAAATTTCTATTTCCTCGTTTTATGCAGGTACTACATATACCATCCAGATCCAAGGGATGCCATTAATATGGGAAAAGTCGCATACAGACCATGCTGGGCAATTTAGAACCATTTAAATGAATTATCAAAAACCAAACGAGAGTGAGAAGAAAATAAAAAGCATCATGAAACATTTTAGAGACACTGAAATGGGGATCCTTGTGTGAGCAGTTCTAGCAAGAGTAACCTCATGAATGGACAATCTCCAGCATTTCAAAAGATTCTTAAGTCTCAATCTTTCAGTCTTGTGCAACAACACTCTTGAACATATAAAAGTGGCTGCATAATCCATATTACATCATTGTTAAATTGGAATTTCCTAAATCTCTCAGGTCTTTATGAACTCCATGCACTAAACAAAAAATGACCTGTGTGCAGTTCAGTATAATACAATAACTAGAATTTTAATCTATATTGGTATGCTTTGCAATCATTTAAATGAAATGTTATATATGTATGTTTGTATATATATATATATATATATATATATTTACAAAAAAA